ATGCAGCGCGTGTTTCCCAACTTCAATTTTATTACAATTATGCCATGAATTTAATCTGGATCATTGATTAAAAAATGAATGGTTTAGATTAAGGTTGCATAGGTTGTATGAATGGTAGAGGGTGTATAATAACACCCCTCTATATATATATATATATATATATATATATATATATATACACACACACACAATGTGTATAGATGTGCGTTAGTTGCTAACCACGATTCGATCGATGTATATGTTGTTTAAGATACATATACATCGCATGATGTATATATGTTCTAACATATGTGTATATGTGAATGTATAGATAGTATGTGTGTTATTTGGAACTTTATTTGGTTTTATTGAGCCTTAACCCATTTTATTGGGTTTTGTTCAGTTTTATTAAGTCTTAATCCATTTATCGAGCTTTATTGAGTTTATTAGGTCTTAATGGGCTTTAGTCAAATTTATTGGGCCTTAATCCATTTTATTGGACTTTATTTGGTTTTATTAGGCTTTATTCAATTTTATTGGGCTTTAATCCATTTTATTGGACTTTATTCGATTTTATTAGCCTAATGGGCTTTATTGGCCTCAATCCATTTTCTTGAGCTTTATTCAGTTTTATTGAGCCTAATGGGCTTTATTCGGTTTTATTGAACTTTATTCGGTTTTATTGGGCCTAATGGGATTTATTCGATTTTTTTGGACTTTATTCGGTTTAATGGGCCTTAATGTGCTTTATTCGGTTTTATTGGCCCTAATGGGCTTTATTCGGTTTTATTAGACTTTGTTTGGTTTAATAGGCCTTAATGAGCTTTATTTGGTTTTATTGGGCCTCAATCCATTTTCTTGAACTTTATTCGGTTTTATTGGGCCTAATGGGCTTTATTCGATTTTCTTGGACTTTATTCGGTTTTATTAGCTTAATGGCTTTATTTGATTTTATTGGACTTTATTTGGTTTTATTGGTCCTTAATGGGATTTATTCGGTTTTATTGGACCTTAATGGGCTTTATTCGGTTTTGATGAAAAAAAATCGAGAAATAGAACCGAATATTGATGATGATGAACTTGATAGAATTCGGGAGGAGAGGTTTGCTGACTGGTTCTCGCACCACGTGAGTATATATATATACACTGAGAGTTATTTATTGTTCAATACTCCTTATGTGTTTTATGTACCCATTTTGCTTCTATCTTGTAATTTTTTTGTCTAAAATGTTTTAAGAGGTGATGAAAAATCAACGATTTGAATTTATTCTGAAAAACCGTCACTGCTGGAAAAATGCCCACTGTCTGCTCACTTTCTGTCCACTTCGATATTTTCTTCAAAGCGGATTTGGATAAGTTTAAATGCCTGTTTTTCTGGGTATTTAAGAGAATTATTTTTACGATCAAATATGGAAATCTCACTTTATTTAAAAGGATGAGTATTGTTGTATAAAAAATGTCTTAAAGTGTTTTTTTCCTTATTTTAAGGGAAATGTCATCTCTATCTTTTTCAGCATTTCATAAAAGGTGACAAGACCTAAAGATTTTGCATGATATGAAATGAAGTCTTTGCCTTCAAGATTGAAGAAGACTTTCTTCATTTGGGTAAAGGGATGTCCATCTCTCCCTTTCTCCTATAAATTGAAACATTTACTCTCATTTGGAAGACACATCTCTTGGAGCATTTACTCTCATCTGAAGATTTGAAGCAGTAGTTCAAGTTTAATTTTTTGTATTTATTTTCTGTCTCGTATTTAATTTTCAGCTACGAATCTGTCCATTCTATGCCCACTAAGGGCAACAGTTTTAATAAATTTCAATTCAAGTATTTCTTATGCATTTCTCTTCTTCTTCTATGTTCTGTAATTTTATTATGAGCTAATCACCCTTTTTGGGTGTGGGCGTGAGTTAAAATTAAGAACTTGAAGGCACACTTGGGTGTTGCCATTGTTATTAATTCTTAAGCTTGGTCACTTAAGTCGGGACTTAAACTTAACGCAGATAAGCCGATCACTTTGAAGTGTTAATATTAGATCATTGATCCAGAGATGGACGAATTTGAAATACGACTTAAGTGATGTACAAAGATTTGAGAGAGTCTTTGATAATCACACAGAGATACGAATTTTGCATGTTTTGAGCTAATGTTCAAATATTAGTCGAGATTTATACAAACAAAAAGATATGAGTATAAATCTTCAAGCTAGTGGAACTAGATATCTTTTTATCACTTAGCTAATTCGGCAAGCTTAAAACTGATAAAAATGGGCACTCTGTGGGCACAATATATAAAAATTCACTTCCGAGAGATTGGAGTTTTTATAGAAGTCCCATGAGTTTCTGACCATACTGTTCTTACAATCTTCTTAAGGG